TGTATTCTCAAAGCCTTTCATCACTGAAATGCACAATAGATATTGCCCAGATATTTTAGAGGAACTATGATTACTATTAATGTTTCATTTTGTTTAGTCCAGTACAGTGAACTGATGAAAAGTTGCCTCACTATTTGGAAAACCTGCTTAGGAAAATTTTACTATTTTGTTTTTCTATTTGGAATCTCTGGACAGATTACAAGGATGACCCTATGTAAAGTTCTATAGGGTGAACACTATTTATAAAGCCAAAATCAACTCTAGGTGGCACTGAAATGCCAGCTAAAGAATCTATCTTCTCGAACTCTAAATTTTGATACTTGCTTTCTTATTCTTAATTTTTGGTACCTATTTATTTGTTTGTTTTAAAACTTTAGAAGTGAAATTCACTGAATGTATGATCACAATAATTTGAGAACTGTCACTTGCCCTACAAATGTGTGCATTAGAGCTGATCCTGGAGCTCTGGAGAGCAGGCTGTTTCTTTGTAAGAAGGAGCCTCGTCTTTCACGTTTACTGGAATGACGGGAAAAGTCTGCCCTCCACAAACACTCTTCAGATGAATTCATGAACAGCAAAGCAACCTAGTGTAGGCATTAGTGTGTCTAGCATGCATCACCTCCTTGTTGTTGTTCTTTTCCCMTGTATTTTTCTTTTCTTCATCTTCTTTCTTTTTTTTCTCAGCTGCTTCCTTTTCCCTGAAGGAAAGGAGGAAAAGAAACATTTCAACCAAAGTGAATAAACCCCTCATCAATGACAAGATCTTCTTCTAAAACAATTTCTCCTTTCTCACATTGTTGAGAAATTGCACTTTCCTGACTTGCAGACAAGACCCGTTTTTTGGTAGGTACTCACAGCCTCTCCTTACACATGGCACATTTATTGCCATGTGTCTTGCCATCAGGACCCCGGACGGGGTCGCTCTCTCGAGTGCAGATGAGTTGTCCATTTTTTAGATGGCTTCTAAACTCATCACATACATCCTGAAAAGAAGGAAACATTATGTCAGAAGTGCTGTTTTCACATAGTATTGACAGGATTTGAAAATCAGATTGCATCCAAGAGCGAGGCAGCCAGTTAATCTTGCTTTGCTTGATACAATTATGGCCCATAAAAAATGTCTGTGTCCCAATTTCTGGAACCTGCAAAAATGCTACTTTACATGCCAAGGGCGGGGGGTTGTATTGAATATAGAATTAGATCTGGCATTTATGTTTGAAATGGGGAGGTTATCAGACTGGATCAAGTGTAAATACAAAKGTTCTTATCCATGAAAGAGGGAAGCAAGAAAGTCAGTGTCACAATGATAGAGCATAATAAAGACTTGACAGGATCTGGCTCGCTTTGAAGACAAGCAGGTTCCCTCCAAAAGTTAATGAAGGCAAAGAATCAGAACTTTCTATGGAGTTTCCGCAAAGGAACACAACTTTACTGATGTGCTGGTTTCAATGAGACCATTTAGAATTTCTAAAATCCAGAAATTTAAGATAATAAGTTTGTATTGTTATATCCTACTGTTTATAGTGATTTGTTATAATAGCAATTTAAAAAGAACTATACTTGTTAAAACTCATTTTCTCTAAAATAAAGTTTAAAGGTTTTATAAGCTGCTGAGACAATTGAATAAACYATGATTTATTAATTGTAATGATTAATAAATCATTAGACTGGAAGGTTCCCATTTGACATTAAATTGCCAAATTTGCAAATTGCCAATAATATTCTTGTTTTAACATTGGTTCCTGACCTTCAAAGGACAAGATGTTGGTTGACCTTATTCACAACCCCTTTCTATGTCTATGAGGACTTAGAGAAAGACAGTTCTGTCAAAACCTAGTTAATGACTCACCTTTCCTGACTCTGATCCAGTCTCATTTGATCTGATGCCAGAATTCTTTTCTTTTTCCTCTACTTCTTTTTGCCTGAGAGAGAAAAGTGTCAAAAAGTGTCACCTTAGCAGCACGTACTCAGGGGTGATGGTTTACATAGCCTGCACCTCCTCCAGAGCAACTCCCTCTGCCCCTCATAGAGGAGGACAGTCCACTGASTTACTGACCTTAGAGCAGTTGACCTTCATCACTAGGTACATCAACTCCCAATTACACAGTCTCCTATGTTTGTGTCCAGATTTATCTTCCTTTAAATTTCATTCTGTTGATCATATTCTCAGAACAATACAGAGCTTGACACTCAATCTATTACTCCTTGGTGTTAGCCCTTTCCTCAGGTCCTTGGTCTTTCAGTGTAAGCAATGGTTTCTACTGCTGCATCAACTCCCYATTCCACTTCCTTAACTTTGAAGTCAACCCATTAAATCATCATTTCTCAAAGTGTGGAACCCAAAATAGAAATAAGAGTAATATGAAAAGCATCTGARGATCACATTCTGTTTTATATCTTATCTTTCTCATTGTTATGGGTTAGATGTGAGGTGTCCCCCCAAATGCTCRTGTGTGAGACAACGCAAGAAGGCTTAGGGGTGAAATGATTGGGTTATAAAAGCCTTAACCCAATCAGTGAGTTAACCCTCCGATAGGGATTAAGTGGGTGGTAACTGAAGGCAGGTAGGGTGTGGCTGGAGGGGTGGGTCCTCAGGGGCATGTCTTTGGGGTATATATTTTGTATYTGGTGAGTGGAGTCTCTCTGCTTCACAGTGGCCATGTCTGAAGCTACTTCCTTAAGTCACACTGTTCTGCCCTGATGTTGAGCCTCACTTTGAGCCCCAAGGAGTGGAGTTGGCCCTCTATTGTTGAGCCCCCATAAAAGCCTCTTCTTCTCTAATTGTTCTTGTCAGTTTTTCAGTCACAGCAGTGAAATAATTGACTAAAATACTCACAAAGGATTTATGCCAGTGGTCTATAAGTTTTTACATGCGTTAAGAATTACCTGAGAGATTGTTCAAATTTTTTTTCTTRTTCAAAATTTTTTATTTGTTTTAATTAGTTATATATAACAGTAGAATGCACTTTGATATATCCCATACATAGATGGGATATAATTTCTCATTTCTCTGAGTGTACATGTTGCAGAATCATATTGGTCATGTAATCACTTATATACACACAGTAATAATGTCTGTTTCATTCTACTATCTTTACTATCCCCACATCCCCTCAAGAAGGTTTAGAGGTGAAATTGGTGTTAGCCCTTTCCTCAGGTCTCCTCCCATCCCCTCCCATCACTTCCCTGTACCTAATCTAAGATAATGCTATTCTCCCTAGTGCCCCCTGCCTTATTGTGAATTAGCATCTGTATATAAGAGAAAATATTTTGGCTTTGGTTTTCTGGGATTGGCGTATTTCACTTAGCATGATATTCTCCAACTCCAACCATTTACTGGCAAATTCCATAATTTTACTCTTCTTTAAAGCTGACTACTATTCCATTGAGTTTACATACCACATTTTCTTTATCTGTTCATCTATTGAGTGAGATGAAATCTTAGATTAGTTTTGATTTCCATTTMTCTGATTGCTAGAGATGTTGAACACTTTTTCATATATTTGTTGATCAGTTGTATTTCTCTTCTGTTGGTTCTATAGTCTAGCTATTGTGAATTGAGCTTCTAGAAACATTGATGTGGCTGCATTACTGTAGTATGCTGATTTTAAGTCCTTTTGGTATAAACCAAGGAGTAGTATAGCTGGGTCAAATGATGGTTCCATTCCCAATTTTCTGAGGAATCTCCATACTGTTTTCCATAGTGGTTGCTCCAATTTGCAGTCCCACTAGYAATTTATGAGTGTACCTTTTTCACCACATCCTCACCAACATTTATTGTTGCCTGTAGTCTTGATGATTGCCATTCTTTTTGACAGGAGTGAGATAAAATCTTAGAGTAGTTTGATTTGCATTTCTCTAATTGCTAGAAATGTTGAACACTTTTTCATATATTTGTTGATCAATTTTGAAATGTCTGTTCAGTTTCTTAGCCCATTTATTGATTGGGTTATTTGTGGTTTTTTTGGTGTTAAGTTTTTTGAGTTCTTTATATATCCTAGAGATTAATGCTTTATCAGAGGTGCATGTGATAAAGATTTTCTCTCAATCAGTAGGCTCTCTCATCACATCATTAATTATTTCCTTTGCTGAGAAGAAGCTTTTTAATTTGAATCCATCCCAYTTACCGATTCTTGATTTTACTTCTTGTGCTTTAGGTTAAGGAATTCAGATCCTTAGGCTGATGGGGTAAAGATTTGGGCCTATTTTTTCTTCTATTAGGTGCAGGGTCTCTGTTATAGTGCCTAAGTTTTTGATCCACTTTGAGTTGATTTTTGTGCATGGTGAGAAATAGAGGTTTAATTTCATTTTGCTACATATGGAATTTCAGTTTTACCAGAACCATTTGTTGAATAGATTATCTTTTCTCCAGTGAATATTTTTAGTACCTGTTTCTAATATAAGATAACTATATTTATGTGGGTTTGTCCCTGTATCCTCTATTCTGTACCATTGGTCTACAAGTCTATTTTGGTACCAATTCCATGCCRTTTTTGTTACTATAGCTCTGCAGTATAGTATAAGATCTGGGATTGTGATGTCTCCTGTTTACTTTTCTTGCTTTGTATTGCTATAGCTATTCAGGGTCTCTTATTTTTTCCAAATAAATATCATGATTCCTTTTTCTATTTCTATGAAGAATGTCATTGGGATTTTAATAGTAATTGCACTAAATCTTTTGGTATTATGACCATTTTGACAATATTAATTCTGCCAATCCAAGAGCATGGGAGATCTTCCAATCTTCTGAGGTTTTCTTCCATTTCTTTCTTGAGTGTTCTGTAGTTTTCATTGTACAAGTCTTTCACCTCCTTTGTTAGATTGATTCCCAGTTTTATTTATTTTTTTGAGGCTATTGTGAATGAAGTGTTTTCCTAATTTCTCTTTCAGTGGATTCATCACTGATATATAGGAATGTATTTGATTTATGGGTGTTGATTTTATGTCCTGTTACATTGCTGAATTCGTTTATTATTTCTAGAAGTTTTCTCATGGAACTTTTTTGGATCTTCTCGATATTAAATCATGTCATCAGCAAATAGTGATAGTTTGAGTTCTTCTATACCTGTTTGTATCCTTTTAATTTCTTTCTTTTGTCTAATTGCTCTGGGGAGAGTTTCAAGGACAGTGTTGAATAGAAGTGATAAAAGAGGACATCCTTGTCTTGTTCCATTTTTTAGAGAGAATGCTTTCAATTTTTCTCCATTTAGAATGATGCTGGCTTTATTAGGCATATATAGATTTTACAATGTTGATCATGTTCCTACTATCCCTAGTTTTTCTAGTGTTTTGAACACAAAGGTTTGCTGTATATTGTCAAATGCTTTTTCTGCATCTATTGAGATAATCATGTGATTCTTGTTTTTAAGTCTATTAATTACATTTATTTATTTCCCTATGCTGAACCAACCCTGCATCCTGGTGCACTACCTTTTAAATATGTTTTTGTATATGACTTGCTAAAATTTTATTGAGAATTTTTGTATCTTTGTTCATCATGGATATTAGTTTAAAGTTTCTTCCCTCGATGTGTCTTTGTCTGGGTTTGATATCAGGGTGATATTAACCTCATATAAAGAGTTTGGAAATATTCTATATAATTCACAAATAAATTATGAATGGATAGTAGAAGAAATCAAGGATGAAATAAAGAAATTCTTAGAGTGCATTCATTAAAAGAAYAAAAAGTCAACAAATAAATGACCTAACACTACATCTCAAAGCACTAGAAAAAGAAGAACAGATCAACACCAAAAAACAGTAGAAGACAGGAAATAATTAAAATCAGAGTCGAAATCAATGAAATAAAATACTCATGGACAGGTAGTCTTCAAGTGAACTAGACAAACTTCTTGCAATTATGAAACTATAATATAATATCTTCAACAAATGGTGCTGGGAAAACTGGAAATCCA